GGGGGGATGTATTTATATAGGAGAGGAAATGATGAGTCATGCAGCATATATGGGCATGTGTAGAGGAGGGGGTGGTGGGCTCCACGCGCACGGACGAAGCAGTGCCTGTTTGGTTTATGGGGTTTTATTCGGAAATTTCTAGCATACATAGCATCAGCAATGGCAAGGAAAAAATGGAATGCCACACAATGATGTGGAACATTTTAACCAATCAAAAATTATCCAGTCAACGTGTGGCAAGTGAATGGAGTGACAAACTCTACAGTGACAAGTCATTATTTTTATCATTTTTTTTACATTTTTTTATGTTTTTTTAAAAAATATTTTTATTATTTATTTTATCAAAAAATTATTCTTCTTTCTTATACATTTTTTTTCATAAAGAAATTTTTAAAAAAATTAAAAAAAAGAAGGGTAGAGTGTCACACTCATGCCTCACCAAGTAATGCATTTTGGCTTTTCATACCATGATATAAGTGGAAAGAGCTGATGTGGCAGTGCAAGGCATTCCACTTCCTTGCCATTGCACATGCTCTAAAGTGTACACTACTAGTTTTGCACTTACATTTAATGTCAGGACAAAACTTTGGGTACAAATATGAGGTACAAGTAGATTTTTCCTAATTTTTTGTTTTTTTTAAATTGCAATAAAACGTGTGTGGTATGGGGATGGGTGGTATACACTTGGGTACACTTTCGAACATTTTTTGGATGGTGGGCCCGGTGTTTGTTCTTATCCCTCACCCTCGATGGTGGGCTCGAGGTAAAAAAAGACTAATTTTACGAAAGAGACACCGTAGATGATTCAATTGGGCAAGGGTGGCATTGATCTCTTTTTAAATATGAAAAGTTTTAAAAAAAATAAGAAATGTTTTTTTAAATGTAAAAAATAACGGAATATGGAGTAATTTTCAAAGGTATAGTCGGTCAAATATTGGGGGAGGGATGACGTGGCACTAACGAGCCGATAAGCTAAGAAGGGCACCTTTGGCGGTTAAGTTCGTGACCGGACCGGGCTGCCGGATTGAACATAGGCGTCTGCCACGTGTCGAACTATCGCGCCAGCAGCGTCCAACTAACCTTTTGCCGCCTTCATTCGGCGGCTGACCAGCGGCCACAAACTAACCACGGGAAAATAATAATACTCCGCAATAAACATGGGAAAATATCCATGGAAAATTTTATGAGGTAAAAGATATTTGTCATTTTTAAATTTATTTTATTTAAAAATTGTTTACATATTTAAAAATTATATCAAAAATTTTATACTCCGTAAAAAATAAGATAATGTAATTACATTACTTTATCAAATACGTAGAAACGAAAACCTATATGTAAATAAAAATTATCCTGAGGAAATTTATTTAGGCGCGAAGGAAGTAACTTGTGGCTATATTATTTAATGTGTAGTATTTTGATCCCAGATAATTAGTTCATTACATTAAATTTTCATGTAAAATTTTGAATAAATTGAATGTACTCCATATATATATATATATATATATATATATATATATATATATATATATATATATATATATATATATATATATATATATATCACTCTATTCTTAAAAGCAGGGGAATTATTTTCCCGCCCAATGCACTCATCTCCTCCGCCGTCGATATGAAAGAATAAATAAGATCTCCGGCTATGATTGATTGTGTAATATTACCTATTTAGAATGATAAATTAAAGGAAATTTTGCATGCATAATCACTCTATTCTGATAAAAAAGGAAGGGAGTAATTTGTTTCCTAACCAATTTCGCCTAATTACTTGATTGTGATAAAAAAACAAGGAACGGTGCAAGAGATTTTTTATATTTTGTTTCCTTTTTAAATAGGTAATTATTTATGCCTAATTATTATTACTATTATTATTATAATTATTTTGGATAATTTACGCCTGATTATTTTATCAAAAATTAATTATTTATGCCTAATTAAATAGGTAATTATTTACTTAATCACTCTATTCTTAAAAGAAAATACTTTTAAGAATAATAGAATGGTAAATTAAAAGAAATTTCGAATGCATAATTACTTAATTTTGGTAAAAAAGGAAGGGACTAATTTTGCAAACAAGATCTACGTTGTTTCCTTTTTAGAATAATTTTGCATGCATAATTAATTAATTACTCTATTCTTATCTAGAATGATAAATCCATACTTTATTTAAAAAGTCATGGATTCGTGAGATTGTTTTCCCGCCCATTTGTTACTGCAATAAAAATGGCAAATGTTCACTTAAAATGGTAATGACTCAATTACAATTAATATTAATGTTCCACGGTTAAACAATAAAATGGTAATATTCCTCCAACCTAATTATGGCAATTGCTTGCAATTATATTACACGGTTAATATAATCAAGATAAGCAATTAAAATTGGAATTATATTCCGCCAAAAATGGTAATATTCTGCCAACTCAATTGCCATTATATTAACAACCATTATGTAGTAATTATTGTGGATTTATAATTATTAAATATGGCAATTGTGGATTTGAATATGGTTGTACGTATGGCAATTGTGGATTTATAATTATATTAAAAAAGGTATAAATATAATAATAGCTATATTTTTATAATAATTAACGTGAGTAATATAAAATGGTAAATGTGACGTTAATATAATTAATATATATAATAATTAACGTATTGAAAATTGGAAATTATTAAAAAGGTAAGTTATAAAATTGCAGAGTTAAAGTTTTAAATAAATTTGGAATCAATGTATTATATGCTACGGAGTAATAATTAACCAACGTTATTTTGACTACTGATGGGAAACATCTAAAATTATGGTAAGAATAAGTAACTGTCATTTTTAATCATCGGAAGTTAAAATAATTATTGGAAAACACTTATGTCTAATTGGAAGTATAACTGTATAACTTATCTTTTTAATTATTTTCATTTTTCAAAAACTTACGCTTTGCAATTATATGATTTACCTTTATTAAAAACTTACGTTTTGGAATTGTATATTACTTACCTTTTTTAATACGTTAATTATTTAAAAAGGTAAACTCACGTTTACCATTTTATACTACTCATGCTTACGGTTTTATATTACTCACGTTAATTATTATAAAAATAATAGCTATATTAATTTCACCCTTATACAAAAAAAATTAAAAATGACAGTTACTTATTCTTACAAAAATTTTGGAGGTTTCCAATCAGTACTCATAATACTTATCTATACCCAAAATAATTAGTACACTCCATACGAATTGAAAGCATGGTGTTTTAAAAGTAATATTCCTCTTTTAGTAACTATCATTTTTTACTTATGGTAATATAATTATTACCATAAGTAAAAAGGTAAGTAATTTATATTGGTAATAATAATACTAAGGGAGAAAGACCAAAGTATGACTAAAACTTTGAAAATATACCAAAATAGGATTTCCATGTTTTTATTCCCAAAATAGAACTTACATTACGAACAGTGGTCATATACATTACCAAAAAAGCATAATAATTTGCACATATACACTGCCACATTACCACAATGCAAGGTCACATTACCACAGTGCAAAGTCCTATTCTGGGAAAAAAAACATGAAAGTCCTATTTTGGTACTTTTATCTATGTTTTTGTCCTATTTAGGATGATTTCTATAATACTAATGTGATTAATTTAAATTGGAAATAAGTAAAAGGTAAATATTGGAAATAAGTAAAAAGGTAAGTAATTTAAATTGGTTATAATAATACTAACGTCATTAATTTTAATTGGAAAGAGGTAAAAGGTACTAAGTAATTTAAATTCGTATTAATAATTCGGTAATAATAGAGTTCCTTTTTTAAAAATAATAAGTATTAAAAACTTATCAAATGTGATTATAAAGAAATAATAATACTAATGTGATTAATTTGAATTGGAAATAAGTAAAAAGGTAAGTAATTTAAATTGGTAATGATAATACTAACGTCATTAATTTAAATTGGAAATAAGTAAAAGGTAAGTATTGGAAATAAGTAAAAAGGTAAGTAATTTAAATTGGTAATAACAATACTAACATCATTAATTTAAATTAGAAATAGGTAAAAGGTAAGTAATTTAAATTGGTAATAACAATGCTAACGTCATTAATTTAAATTAGAAATAGGTAAAAGGTAAGTAATTTAAATTCGTAATAATCGGCATTAATCGCGTTTTTTTAATAATAATAATAAGTATTAAAAACTTACCAAAACGTGATTAGTCATGTACATCTCTATGTTGCAATTTCAAGAGTAACTAATTGTAGTAAGTTGAAGATTCGGATATGAACTAAAGATAATATTAACACAAATTATACAAATAATGTAGTCTATAAAGAAATTTTTCGAAATTTGTAAAGCAATGATATTTTGTATCTTTAAATACTATAATCTCTATATTCTATTGTATCTCATTTTTTATCATTGAAAAATGATCTTAATTTAATAACATAAAAATGGCCCGTGCAACGCACGGGCGTGATACTAGTATATATATATATAAAAGTTATATTCCATCTTTAATTTGGTATGTAGATTAAGGAAAATGAATTTAATTATGTGATTGAAACTGATACAAAGGGCAAAAAATTATAAAGACTACACACAATCTTTATTAAAAGTAGAAAGTTGAATGTTTTTAACATAAAATGTGAAACTTAGACGGAGAGAGTAGAACGTAGGTAGTAAATGGTTTTAAAAATTAATAGGGAGTAGTGTCGCTATGGAACACTTGATTCGACAAAAAAGTATGTGGATATGTTAATAACATTTTAAAAGTTTAATATAGAAGTAGAATGTTGTTTTGTTTAACAATTTCTTGCGGATAAAAAGGGGTACGGTTCTTATTCCGAGCATCTTGTCGTAAACATTAATTTTTATTAGCTTGTTTGGTAAGTTTAACGCATCAATATCATTAGCTAGTGAGCGGCTAGGTCCTGTTTGGCATCGGTGTTAGAAATCAGCGTTAACATTTTGAAACAATTATCTGACTTTAGCATTTTGCGTTTTGAAAAAGAAAATCTGACAGTAGCATTAACGTTTTTAAAAAAATGTACATCATTAAGTTTTTCTCCAAAATGTTAATTTTAATCGAAAATAATGTTATCAAACAAGGTCTTAAAAATTGAAAAACTAATTGAAACACCATAATATTTTTTTTAGATGAAAAAACATTATGGTGTTTAATAACTCAATTTCAGTTGGTAGCCGGGGAATTAAATTGATAAGGGTGAACATCGTGAAATATCTGGATCTGATTTGATTTGTAGAGATGTACCATCTGATTCAAAGTTTGGAAAAGATTAGTCAACACCTTTGATCTAACACGTAGGACCCGTTAGAGAATAGCATTTTTTATTCGCATTAATGTTTTAGATAAAATTTTAACGGTGCAAATTAGCTTTGAAAACGCTAACCCTAAGGGCTGCTCGTAGATAGCATTTTCAAAACGCTGACGTTAATTTATAACGCTATTTCTAAACAAGTCTTTAGCTCCAAATTGGAAGCGGTAAATGAGGAATGACGTTCGCAATGCATTTTTTCGTTCAAAAATAAATTTAGAATGGATCCATATTCGATAATCTGATACCACCAGTCTAACCAGAACCGATATCACATACACCTCTTCCGATTCCAGTTGCAAGTCTACCTTCAAAACGGCTGGATGGGGAACTAGACGTCCAGACCGAAACTTGCCGGTGACCGCAACCACCAC